AGGCAACCTCCAATACGATTCCATATTTAAAAACAGCAACAACAACAAACTGTTGTGTATATTAAAATAAATTCTGAAACAATGAAAATACACTAAAAAATAGTAATAGTAATTCTCTTTTGATGGTAGATTATTGGTAGTTACTAATATTTACATTTTCTGATTATATTATTTCCATGTAACTTTTATTTTGAAATTAAGAAAAACAGCAAAAGAGATAATGTAGAATTCAATAATATTTACACCATAATCAATCTTGTTAAACTTTTTACACATTTTCCTCTTGTCTTTTTTCAAAATTTATCCTTGTAAAAAGGTTATGGAAGTAAAACATAACTGTAGAATCTTTTTTATTAAAAGACCTAAACAATTAGGATGTTACAGGTAAAGCTAAAGCACTTCTGCTTGACAGATGCCCCCATCTTGACCCCTTTTCGCCATTCCTGGAGACAGCTAACCAACCACCACTGAGCTTGGTGTGTGCCTTCTAATCCTTATTTTAATACTTTTACATAAAAACGTATGTATGACTTTAAAAACCCCAAATATAAAAAACGTTGTTTTTAAAATTTTAAGTGGTTTCAGGCTGCAGCTTGCTATTCTCACTTGACGCACTGTAAAGCTGATGCTGATGCATATACATCTCTCCTGCATACTATTCCCCTGCACATACATGCCAATATTTTATTTATCCAGTCCTCTCCTGATGGTCATTGTTTCTAATTTTTCATATTAATATGTTTCTCTATAATATATCTCTTCCTACACACATCTTTTGAAACAAAAGTTTGTGTTTCTTGGGGGTAAACCACTCATTTTCCATTTTAACAGATACTTCCAAAACACTCCCAGGGTGGTTGGTTTTATCAGGCCGGTCCCAGTAAACAATTCCCCTAACCTTTATCAACAAGTGATCTTCTCAGAATTTAGGCATTTGGCCAGTTCTAGTGGGTAAAAAATAGTACCTGTTTGTTTTAGTTTGAAATTTTTGGATTATCAGCTTCCTCCTTTCTATTACTGTTTTTACTCACCAAAAAAAAGCACATTCATTATTGATATTCTTTGATTAGTTAGAATTATTTTCAGTCATTAATACATATTCACCATCTTTTAAGCTTCAATTCATCCTATTTTTAAGTAGACTTCTTTATCAGTAAAGGGACGCATGCCTTTTATTATTTTTTAAAAAAGTAAATTGTGAGGTTTTATCCCCAAATTATTTTTAATCATCTTATATTCAGAATATAACAATTCTGTGAGTACATCAGACCACAACTTTCTCTTTGTGTTTCCTTGATTTAACACTTAGTAAATTTTTTAATAAAGCTAAATTAAAAATTATACTGTAAATATTACACTGACATTGAAAGTCCTGCAAATAGATAACATGATGAATGACTATTCCTGAATTTTCTTTAGTAACATATTCTAGAAAAATCTTGGCACTTAGGCTGAATCAATGACTGCCAGGTGAGAAGCTGATAAACATACTATATGAACCTTGATTCCTAAGATTAAGTCTCTAATTATCTACTATTAGAATAGCTTTGCTCCCTTTCAGGTAAACCTAGGAATCAGAAATGATCTTTCACTGAGGAAAGACCGAACTACACAGGAAAATGTCACCCATCCACTGTCTGCTCATATTCTATAATGCAATAAAGGTGACACATTTGAGTGTCCTAATTATTTAACTTTGCTAATGACTATAGGTTTTATCTTAAGAGGGACTGCAACCCAGCATACTATACACTGAGCTAGTATGCTCTTGTTCTGTGTATGCCCCGGGACTTTAGAATACATTTCGGAAAGTAGTTAGTTTGCCCTCACAGTATCTGGGAAACATCTGGAGGCTGACTGTTTTGAAAAGAGGGCTTTGTAAAAGTATATTATTAATGGCTATTTAAAGTCTATGGACTTTGTGAAATGATGGTGGAGGATGGGGAGGAGAAACCAAACATTTAAATGTTAAATTTACCTGCAAAGAATGTTACTTCCAGTATATTGTCAATATCAACATTTTAACATTTTTTGTTATTATTGGAAAGTTCCTTTTAAAGCATCTGTTCTTGTTTCAGGAATAGAAAAATCTTCTATCACTGAGGCGACTGACAGGCTTTTTTGGGGGAAGCTCATTTTTTCTTCTTGCATTGTATTTGTTTATTCCTAGTTGCCTCCCTACGCCCCCATTTGTTTTGGTCTCTCTCACTGGCATCAGAGACTCTCCCTCTGATGGCAGGTGAGCCAGAGATAACTGGTCTTACTCAGAATGAGGGAGGGACTATAAAACTGTCTGAAAGCTTTATAGATGGGCTGCTTGTTTCTCAACTTCCCTGTACAGTTATCTAGGTGGAATCTCTGTCTCCACCTTTGGATCTTTCCCCTTGGCTGGTAAGATTCTTCGCAGAAGACTCTTCCAACATCTTGAGTGAAGGAGAAGGTTTGTCTGCTAGCATTCTGAGAAACAAATGAAAGAGGGCCTGGGGAACTCTCCATTCATCATTCAGTCCCCGTTTCTAGTAGAGTATCCAAGTCCATGTTCCTAGTCCAGAAATATTTGTTCTCTCTCCAGAGAACAAGCTTCCAGTCTACTGCCAGGGTAGGGATAGGGCAGTTACCCAGTGCACAGAGCAGGAGACAAGATTCTGAGACAGCCCTTTTCTTTTATGTACTCTCCTTCCTCCAGAGATACCTGGCACTGCCAATCCCTGAGACATTTGAGGACTCTGTGGTATAAATCAGGTAAATTTTTATTGCCTCACTGCCAACTAATGATTTAGCTTTTTTGGATCTACTAAGTCCAAGATCACTTACTTCTCCATCTGCTCTCTAGCTTTTACAATGCTGTCAATATTACTTCTTTCCTCTCTGTTAACTCCAATTTTATAAATTCATGTTTAAAAAACAATCGTTTATTATAGTTTTAGGGAAGTTTCAAAAGATAGCATAAATCTGTCACCTTATCTGAAACCCACATAGTCATTTTATTTATTTATAGTTTTTAACTTTGTGATAAACTACATATAGCATAAATTTTTCCATGTCAACCATTTTTAAGTGTATAATTCAGTGGTACTAAGTACACCTGAAATATTGTGCACCAAACCTCATTTCTTTTCAATTTCTTTCAGCAATGTTCTGTTCTTTTTAGAGTACAATTTCTTACCTCCTTGGTAAAATTTATTCTTTTTAGATACTAAGGAAATGGAATTCTTTTCTTTTTAAAAACATAATTAATTTTTAAAAAGTAACTATTTTTTCTCTTATTTTATTCTTTTGGATACTATGGAAGTAGAATTCTTTTTTAAAAAATAATTTTTAAAAATTAAATTAAGAATGGTTACTAACATTATATAAATTTTGAGTGTACAACTTTATAATATGACATCTGGACACTCCATCATGTGCTCACTAATCGAAGTCTAGTCTCCTTCGGTCGCCTTGTATTTGACCCCCTTTACCGTCCTTGTCCTCCCGCTATACCCTTCCCCTCTGGTAACTACCACACATAGCCATGTTCTACATTCATAGCCAGGTATACTCATTATACGGTGAGTGTTACTTAAAGTGTAAGCAAAGTATGTCAGAGTAGATAAATATACTGCAAAGTTTATACTTACAGATCGCACGCTGAAAGCAATGGAAAAAATACTGCCTCTTCACCAACTATCCCCCAGACTACAAAACTATTCCAATTTGATAGTAATCATCTCTGTCATTTTTTGTCTTAATCAATACTGGTATTTGACTGCTCCATCACTGTTTCTAAAAATAATTTTTATGACTATTTTTTGCTGCCTCTGTTTATAGCAAAAGCCTTTTCCCCTCTGCTATCCTTTTATTATTTCATTATTTTTCCTTTCCTTGACATTTCTCAATTTTGGTATGTGAAGGCATTTGGCTTCTCTTTCTTCTAAAAAGCAAACAACAATAATACTCAGTTGTGTGTAATCCTTCTTCATTTTTTAATTTCACAGATATGATTTGAGTACCTATCACAGCTCAGGCCCTGTTCTAAATATTAGGGATAAAACAATGAACAAAACCAAGTCCCTGCTCTCATACAGCTTCTATTCTAGCAGCAGTGACAGACAATAAACAAATACGTCGTGTGGACTGGGAGTTAAAATACAAAAACAATGATAGAGGTTTAGAGAGTGCCAGGGTAAGGTAGGGTCATTAGTTAGTTAAGGTGACCAGAGAAGGCTTCTTTGAAAAGGCGACATCTGAACAGAGACATGGGGAGAAGAAGCTCTATGGATATTTGTGCCATGAGTATCCCAAAGAGAAAATAACAAGTACGAAGTCCTTGAGGAGGAAGTGCGCTTAGTTGCGGGGTAGGGAGGAGAGAATAATCTTTGTTTCTCTCATTCTCAATGTTTATTATTTTTGCCATGGTTTACTCATTACAAGATTTTAATATAATCTTTCAGATTGGAACAGATTCAGATTCTGACCTATCGTAAATTTATGAATTTACTTTTTATCTTTTAAATTTTTTAAAATTTTATTTTAATCATTGTATCTTTTAAATTATAGAGCACTATGCAGTGGATATGAACAATTCAACCTGAAATCCTCAAAGAGGATCAGAATACAGATTTTCATTTTATTTTGTTATATACAAAAGACCATTTTGCAATAGAAAATATGGGCACTTGGAGAAAATAATTATTTTATATACTTCTATAACTGCTAATAATGTTTAGTGGTTGTTTGCTCACCTATTTTTGTTTTCTGAATCATATTATTGCTTAGCTATATCACAGTACATTAAACATAAATTTGCAGTCACATTTATTATTAACACTTTATGTTTAGAATACTGTAGTACAGTTTTATTTCATAGTATCATATTGCTAGCCATCAGTTAAAAGTGTCCGTATGTTCCTAGACAACAATTTAAAAAGCAATACAAAAGATTATCAGCTAAAGTCTTTAAAACACCCTCAATGATCTTCAAAAGTAATTTGTAAGATATGTAACAGAATGGAACTTACTCCATGCCCTGTGCAGTCTGTCGTGCAATATCTATAAGTTTGATCATCTCAAATTTGGTCTCAATGATGTGGAGATGGTGATATAAGCTGGAGCCCTCACACCACTGGGTGACAATAGCCAGTTGTGGCTTTGTTGAATAGCCCATGAAGAGTAGAATATTCACATGTCGAGTTTTCCTACAAAAAGAAATGAAACAGTACATAGTAAATGTTGATAAACTTTAGCAAATCTTAAAAAAGAGGCCAAAACAGTCTATCAGTAAGATGTTGTCAGAAAAAGGTATTTTTTAAAAAGGCAAAAGAAGGATAAATTTAGAAGAGACTTTAGTAATTGTATAGTTCAACATTCTACTCTTTCCAGAAATACCTTTTTTAATATACCAGACAGATAGGAAACTAGAGGTTGCTTAAATACCTTCAATTATGGGAAGCTCATCACTGAGACTAACGTCTATTTTTCCCCACTCTTCTTTTTTTTTTTAATAGTGGTTCTAGTTTTAGAAAGTTTTTCGGGTTGAGAAAACAATCATATTTCCACAACTCCTCCACTGGTTTCCCTGTCCTGCTCTCTGGAATAACAGTCTGTACCCTAGAACATGACATCCTCAGTTATGTTGACTACTGGTATTCTCCCCCTTAAGTTACAGTTCTAGAATCGTCCCCATCTAAGTTGTCCTGGCCTATACACACTCCAGTTTGTTAATGTTCCTCAAGTTCCAGGACATGATATAATCTCTAAATGTGTTCTGCTCAGATCAGAATTTTGAAAGTATCATTTCCATAATGGAAGTACTATTTCTCATAAGCAGAATAGAACACTTCCATTAATTCACTCTATGCTTAATTCTTCTCCCAGCTGTCCAATACAACACTGCATACCACTTACAAGAATATGGTTAAAGACAATATATATGCAAACTCTGTTTTATCCATTTTGAGTGAGTCTTTACAGCTAACAGTGGTGACCACTGGAAACAGGAGTTAAAGATAACCTCTCTGGAAAACAATAATTCACACTAACTCACCTGAGTACTCCTACTTCATTTTTGAAGGCCTGTAACTGTTGAGGTGTGGGTGCTGTCACATTCAACATTTTCACTGCCACATCACCTGAAAGGTAATTGTCATTCTAAATGTCATTCTGGTTTTTTAAATTTAAAAATATTAAAAAATTATTGGGTATTTCACTAATTACCATGGCCTAAATCCACACATTATTAAACTGCTTTATGGTGTAACTTATGATATAATAAATTACACCATACCTTCCTCAACTGCATTAATTTTCTAAGGATAAGAACCAAACTAACACTGATATTCTTACACTAGTATTTCAAAATACCAATCCAAAAAACCCAGCAAACTCTGTTTTTCTCCTGGGTATTTTCCTGGCTATTTAACAATATTAAATGAGATGAATTTACTAACTAAATGTTAAAACTACAAATGACAGGCCCAATGGAGCTTGGCTGAAACAGAAAACTATAAAACTCCTTCATTAGAGTAGTTAACATTTTTTTTTCAAATCCATGGATCACTTGTTCCTTTGCTTAGGAAACTTATTAAAACTATAACCATTATTTTAAAAACAACTTTATGTGAAACAGTTACAACTCACACACATAGCCAATGAGAGTGTAAATTGGTACAACCACTTGAAACACCATTGGCAGTATCTAATAAAACTGAACGTATGCATATCCAGTGGCCCCACAATTCTTTCCTCGGCATATACCCAGCAAAACTGGACATACATGTTCATCAAATGACATGTATGCACTAGGAATATTCATAGCGACAGCATTTGTAACAGGCCTAAATGGGAAACTATTAAAATGTGCATCACACAGTAGTCAGAAAAAGGAATCATTACGGGATACTATATAAAGCATATACAACTACACACAGGAACGTAGACAAATCTCATAAACAATGTTGAGTTAAAGGGGCGAGACACAAGAGTATACACTGTTATTTCTGTTAAAATCAGGAGAGGGGTTACCCCTTGGAACAGGAGGACATGAGTAGGACTTTGACATTGCTGGTAATGTTCTGTTTATTGACTACAGATGAGTTTACTTTGTGAGATTTTAGCTACTTGAACACTTAACTTTTTTGCATGTATATTATACTTCAATACAATTATTTTTCCTGATTATCAAAGTCATATACTCTTATAGTAAAAAAATTAAACATTTTGAATGCATAAAGAAAAAATATTTCCCATAATCATGTCACTCATAAATGACCATTGTTAACATATTGATGTATATCTTACTAGGCTTTTATATGTATCAGTGTGACTATTTATGAATTTGCATAAAAAGATAACCTAAAAATATATGTACTCAAATACTGATGATCATTTTTAAGATTGTTAAATATATTTCTATGTAGCATCATAATGTGGGATATTATGCATGCTTCTTTATAAAATTTAATATACCACGGACACTTTTCCATAGTAATAAATATAAATCTGCCATACTATTTTAATTTCTGTATAATCGTATATGGAGGTTATCAATTTATTTAAATAATACTCAATAGGCACTTAATTTCCATTTTCATTAATATTAAACTTCTAACTGATATACTTGTACAGACATGTTTGTTCCTGTCCAATTACTTCCTCATTATAAAATTCTACAAGTGGAATTATTGGCCCCATGTACATATTGTCAAATTTTTCTCCAGAAAACTCATAGCAATTTATTTTCCCACCAGCAGACCAGCAGCATTATAATTACAACTCTAAATATGACCAATTAAAAAAAAAAATCTTTGTCCACTTGAGATGCAAATGATTTTTACTTTTTGATTTTGCAATTCTGATAACTAATGAGGTAGAACATTTTAAAATATGCTTCCACTCCATTTCTTCCTCTGGTAATAAACTTTTAATATATTTGTGGTTTAAATACAAATAAAATTATAAGCAGAAAAATTATCAAAGAAAAAAACATCTTGGGAATTAGCTCACTTGGAGAATCATCATCTTTAAAAGTTATAACTAGATATTCAGTTGTAACAGTGAGGTCGTTTTTTATCATCTCACTGTGCTTTAGGTGCCTTTTTATATCATATTAAGTGTGATATGGGGCCTTATTTGGTAATTAGCACTATAATTTCTTTTTAGAAAAATGTCTTCTAGACATTTTCAGGTATTTATACAGACTAAGTGGCAATGTATCTTTATAACCTCACTGAGATGACTAAGAAATGAAATGTTTACTCTTTTTATGCTTCAAACAATAAAGACATTTTATCTCCCCCCCCCAAAAAAAAAGAACCGGAGGTAATATAATGATAGGAGACCTGGTTGCTGTGAATCAGTTTTTACTGAATATTTTTGTTTGACACTTTTTGTTAGAAACCTTTAGTAACTCTTGAATATAATAAAAAAGTTTTATTATATACTCTGTAAATCATCAAATATTATATATTTGATGATTTACAGAGTGATTACTCCCTTTGATTTTTAAAATAAACATTGTCAGATAATTGTATTATTATAACTTGTGAGAAGGTCACCATAATACATACATACCATGCCACTTTCCCTTGTAGACTGTCCCAAATGACCCGGATCCAATTCTTTGTCCCACTGTGATCTGCCCATCAGGAATCTCCCAATCATCACTTGAATCCCGCCTACCAAGTGTTTTCTTGATAAAAATAGTGCAAAAGTCAAGCAAAAGCAAACAAAAAGGAAAACCTTAGGTTTCACCCTATATACTTTCTCCTATGTCTGAAGGGTACCTAAGTTAGAAAGAGACAGTATCTTTTAAAGAAAAAAGAACACTCTCTGGAAGAAAGAAGTATGGTTCCTACAATACGGAACTTAAGTTTAAGACCTAAGTCAGTATTAGGACAAAAACAATTTATCAAAAATTATGTATAGGGTATGAAAAGAAATATATATCACTACAATCAATGAAATGGAAGTCTTATAACTTGGAGGACAACTACGGGCAAGATAAGTACTATATATCTGTGACTAGTTTTGGCTCCAAAGGCCAAAATTTAAGTTAACATACTATGGTAACTGTTGATAATTTATTTACTTACTTTCTTCCAGTCAGTGCTAAATTTCCTCGTATCTTACCTGATCCTGTCTCTTAAAAAAACTGTCAACATATACAAACACTTTGGTAAGGTAAAGACTCCACCTATCCAACATATTATTAATACACTCTTGCTAAGATTAAATTTTTAGTTTTTAATATAGACTTCAGAAAGTTATTTTTTCAAATAGGGAATAATGTCATTTAGTAGATACTTGAATTTCAGAGAAGCCCTTTAGAACATATGCGCCTAACAATGCTTCCTACAATACTAGCTTACTCTTTTTCCTTATTTTAGAAACAGAACACTACAGTTGACTCTCGAACAATGTGGGGTTTAGGAGCACATGTGAAATCGGCATATAACTTTTGATTTCCCCCAAAACCCAACCATAACGATCCCTTGGTATCTGCTGGAGATTGGTTTCAGGACCAATACTGTTTTCAACCCTTGGTTCACTGAATCATGGATGCACAATCTGGGGATATGGAGGGACGACTATTTACTTATTGAAAAAAATTCACATGTAAGTAGGTCCAAGCAGCTCAAATCCATGTTATTCAAGAGTCAACTGTATTCTTACCCTTTCAAAACTGCCTTTTCTTCAATTACATTGGAGCTGAGAGGAAAAAAATCTGTGTTGTGTGAATATGCTTTAAGCAATCACCAGCTCTTAAATTTATTTGATTATGGGAATTCTGTGTCACATACCAATATATCTAAAAGGTGACATTAGATTTGCCTATGACTTCTATACAGAAGAACACAGAAGAATAGAGATACCATATACTCTTACCATTCTATTCCTGTCTTCTGAGGACGAGGATGATTTTCTTTCCCTCTGAGGTCCTGGAGATTTCTGTAACGCTTTCACATTAGTGAGTGAGCCAGGTAATGAGGCAGGGGGGGTGGCAGATAAACCTGTAGTTGATCCTAAGTTAGTGAAAGGAAAAATATATCCATTAAAGGAGAACCAAGTATGTCACTTAATTGGGGGCAGAGGGTGGGGGGTGGGGGATTTAAGACTTATTTAAAAAATGCAGTGCATGTTCAAGCATAGACCTTTTAGAAAGGAGAAGCCAAAAAGGGGTCTCATTTGGTAATTAGCACTATAATTTCTTTTAGTTTTCTGGCCAATTTAATGATCTTGAAAACATCTGATTACAGATATACACTTTGCTTATGGTGCATATCCTAAGGGGAAAAAATCTCTCTAATATAAAAGATATATACTAAATAATACTCCCAAGGTTCTGTTTCTTTGATATAAAAAATTAAAAAGCAAAATCAATTTAAAAGCCAATAATAAAAATAAGCTTTTAATTATTTTATGTTGCTTCAGCAGCCAATCAATATAAAAAACATGGAAATCCCCAAATGGAAACATATTCTAAAAATGGTCTTACTGTTGAAAACATCTGGCTTTTTCATATAAGCCACAAAAATTAAAAAAAAAAAAAAATCCTACACCACATACTATACTACTTAAGAGTGAGAGATGCTGGTCACTTTCCTCAGTTCTGGAAGGCTTATTTTAGTAAACAAAGATTATTTGTTGCCTGCATACAATATTACTGTAAACAAAACTAGCAGGTTTCTCAAGACTCTGAAAAATCCCTGCCTTCACAAGTGACTGCAAAGTTAAGTGATATGGCCTCTCAGCTAAGTTACTATAAATGCAAATATTCTACCAGCCAACTGAGCCCAAGGGGTACATTCTTTGCAAATGGATTCAGTTGGCAGGGTTGCATACCTTTCTGATAGGTACTTTTCCAAATGCTGGCTCAGTGGCAATAATTCTAAGGTCATGTACAGTAGCACCTGGTTTAGAGGGGTTCAGGGCAATGATTTCTAATGGAGCCTGAATACAGTTAGGTAGGACTGAGATGTCAAAAAATATTTGCATATATAGAACACAAAGACTTCAAGAAAATTTTTTTAAAAGATTACTATTCTTGAAGGGGTGGCTGTCACTATCTTTCAAAGAACAGAGATACCAGTGGCAAAATTTAATGTTAAATCTGGTAGAAATTTTATCATTACTGCATCACATATGCTATCATATGGAATTTTGATAATATGTAAATTTCTGAAAGAAAATGTTATCTGGAATGTCTATTAACAAGAGCACAATCCATTTCTACCTTCCACTGATAATTTTCAACATCATAAAGCCTTAACTACTTGCCCAGGCTTCACAGGTCTGATCTACTTAATACTGTATGACTTCCAGGCCATTCTATGGATTTTCTGAACAGCTGGGCTGAGAGCAAAAATCTGAACCACCACCACCACGTTTAGAGTAAGTGGCAGACACTAATGAGCAATGGCCAGTAAATTCTTTAAAACTATTTACAGCAAACTCCTATCTAAATTTTGACTTAAAAATAAAAAAATCAGTTTAACCACTGAAGTATGGCAAGATAAAATGAGAGACTGAAATTATACTGCTCATTTTTTCCTTATATTAAGGTATAACTAAAAGTATCATTCCTCAAATTTTCTGAAGTATGAAGTGCCCCAAATATATTAAAAAATCTTCTGAAAGCTCCCTATCTTTGATATAATGTAAAAATATACATGCCTTACTTTTAAAAAAGAACACTGCTGATATTACAGAAAAATTAAAGCCAAAAGTCTAGTAAAATGTCAATAAGGATTTCCATTTTCATTTTTAGTTTTTAAAAAACAGAAAAATAACAAATATTAATAGTTATCAAAGTGACCACCCAAGTGGATTAAAATAAAAGAAATTCAAAGAACACCCCTCCCACATTATTTATTGCCACCCATTAAGTTTAAGACATTATAAAGACCAAAAAGTAATGTAACAAAAAACAAGATGGAAATCTCAGACTTTTCTTGCTTTTAAAATTTATGACAGACAACATACAGAAAGCTTGTGGTAGTGAGTATGTGTGAGAAGCACATTCAGAGCATTCCAGCCAGGCCAAGCAGAAATCAGGTACTGAAAACTTTCACACTTACAAACACACGCTGTGAGGGTGAAGCACAAACAGTATCTGTAGTTTATATTTAGTTTGCTTTGGGTGAAAACAAGAAAGAAGAGCCCAACTACCTCTGAACACTGGGCCAGGCTCAAAATCAAACACTATTTCACTGGGGACAGAATGTAGGAGGGGACTGGGAGTCCGGGATTGGTATTTCCGAAGACAGCGCATCAACTGGTTCAAAGGGGCTGTTAGAAGAGAAAGAGAGGGGCAGGCAAACACAGGAAGACAGACACAGAAGAAATGAAAGAAGTCATGGGGAATAAATGAGTCGAAGCCTGCTTCACAAAATAATTCTGGATGTTTAAAAAAACTGCTTATTTTCATAAAATCCCAATGATTTTTTTAAAAGTGACTCATAAAAAAGGATAAGAAACGCCACTTCATTTTAGGTACTAAGCAGGCCGTTTTTATGACTAAGTTAACTTTGTGATGCTAAAATGATGGCAACATTTAAATGCTGGATGTATTGGGCAAAATTTTCAAAAGCCACAGCTACTAAGACATATGAAAGTCAAACTGGCAGCAACATTAATTGGAGGGTTCATGGAATAACAAACAAAAAAAACACTTTTATAACTATCTGCTATAGTAAACACTATGTCTAAAGTATATAATACAGGGTTATTGTTTTGGTAGCTTCATAGGTACATAGAAACACAATAAAAGACGGTTTATACATGTTTATTCAATACAAAATATTTTTGAGACTGGGCTTAGACATTTTGAAGATAAAGCAGGTCACAGTGAAAGAGACCAACTCTTAGCAAGATAAGCAGGTATTGCAGGTCTTCCTTATTAGATAGAAGACAGCTGAAAAGGTAAGCATGGAGAACGATATGGAGGAAAACTTTAAGATATTTTCAAATACCATCTTTTAGAAACATTATGTGGGAGTAAAGTCTTATTTTAAAAGTATTTTCTTAAATAATGTTTTCTGATGCCCCCTATTTTTACTGGGTGCGAGTGAATTTCAGATTCTTTAAGAAATCTCAATTTAATTTCTTATTTGCTTATTTTATTTACTGGACAAAAAAGCCAACTGGGCTTTTCTATTAGGGGTTCATTCTATGAAACGTACATTTCAAACCCTTTTAGAAGATTGAAGGGGAGTAGTTGACAATATCTAACAAATTGAGAAGCTGTGACAGGCAGTCCAAGGGACTCTCCAAGAATGATTTAGGAAAATCAAGTTTTAATGGATTCTAAGCACAACCTTTAAGTACTGGTGGAGGTTCCCTAGGGGAATTTTGCATCTTCATCTTTCGAGATGGTTAAGAATCAATAAAGTGGATAAAATAACTAATAATATCTCCTTGATAACCTTTTAAAACCATAGGTCGTACATTTAAGACTCCTTTTTTATTTCTGCATATTCTCTACTCATGTTATAAACGTAAATATTCTATTAGATATAAATGATAAATAAAGAAAAAAAATTTGGTTTTTCTCTACACATTTTTCTCTGTGTCTGTTTCATGAAAGAAGCAAATATAAAGGAGATAAGCAGCAAAGCAGTTGCATTTTTCCCTGAGTTTTTAAAAACTGAAATCACCACTTACCTCCATCACTACGAAACCCTTGGTCTCTAATCAAGTCCTACAAATAAATAGTAATGAATATTTTATTCAAAGCATATGGTAAAGTAATAAAAACACTGAATTTTCCACTTAGCATTAACAGAAAGATTAATTCAAAATAATAACTGTCTTATAATTACTTCACAAAACAGAAAGAATATGGAATTAGCTAGTGAACATGATAAAATCAAGATATGTAGCACTTGCCAACCTAATCCTATATTGAAGAGATTATTAGTCCTGATCAAATGCTGAAATCTACTTCAGGCCATTCAAAACCAATGGCTGTGTCAATTCTTAAAAAATTCTACTGGCACATATTAAGAACCATAAAAAATGTTCATACCCTCTGATACTATAATTCCACTTCTGGAAGTTTTTCCCTAAGGAAATAATTAAGAAAAAAATGATGTGCACAAAGATGTTTAGTGCAGCAATATCTATCATACTAAAAAATCAGAAATAATTACTTCTTTCTTTTAGGCTTATTGACATATTTTTAAGTATATTATGCTGTATAAACTTAATGAGTATTATGCAGCAACTAAAATAATTATGAAGATGAAATCATGAAAACATGTTTACAATATAATTAAAAAAGAATACAAAATAAAAAAAAATACTGATTACAGTCCTAAAAATAGGATGTGTAAAAATACACAAGAAGGGAAAAAAATAAAATGGCTCCAACAAGGGTTTTGTTAAAATTTGTCCTTATTATTAAAACACAGTTTTTTACAAAGGACAATTTTGGGGGCTAGGGGAAGAGTCTTCTGGCAAGGCAATGCAATTTGGACCTTACTAGGCAGAACTTAGATTAGCGTGTTGACCCAGTATAACTTAAATGAGAGGCATTGAATGGCCCCAAATGTCTCTAAATAGGCTCACAAGCTCTTTGCAAATAGGCAGCTTGTTGTTTAGGAGCTAAAATAAAGAGTGAATTCTTTACAAGAGTATTTCTATCATGTTCAATGTATTATAGAAAGCTTTCAGCACTGTCTACATATCAACAAATATGCACATACCTGCAAACAAGGTGCTGTGTTGGGGGTTGTATGGCTACCAATAAATACAAAAGCCTGGTGGTCTCCCTTTCTGTGTAAAGGTACTTCCATATTTCTGCACATACTGTTTCCATAACACATGCTCCTTTTTCCAGAAACCCCCAACTAGTGTACTTAATAAACTCCTACTTATTCATCTTTTATAATCTGGCTTAAGTGTTGTTCCTTCTCTGCTAAATACTCCTAGATCCAGCCAGGTAGAGTTTATCACTTGCTCCAATAGACTGTCATTATATACTTTTGTGATTATTTATTTATACATCTGATTCATCCATTAGATTATAACTAGTCTGAAGGTAAAGACTGTGTTAATTCATCCTTAATTCCCAATTCCAACACAGTGCCTGTCCCAAAGTCAGTATTAAATCTTGTTTACTGGAATAATAAATGATAAATAATGGCTGAAATCGAATGAAATGATTGATACTGAAGAAAAATGCCTAAAGGGTTTATATTTTATCTTATAACCAATGGGAAGTCAATGACAGTTTTGGAACAAGAGATGATGATAGAGGTGTTATTAAAAAATTAAGCTGGTAGCAGCATAAAGAACGGAAATGGAGAGAAAGAAATCAATGGCAGGAAATGCATTTAGAAGATGAATGCAGTAAGCAGTTCAAATGAAGAAATATGGGCCCATATGGTGGTGGTTGTTAACACATCTCAGATTCATGTCGAAAGGACAAAGTAATACCTTATGACTATCTGAATAGGGGAGAATGAAAATGCAAGATATAAAGATGACGGTCCAAATGTTCAAGCCTAGGACAACAGAACAGCAGTAACAATAACAGTTAAAGTGAAAACAGTGATTTTCAACCAGTATGCCACAAGAATTTTTAAAGCATGCAATACTCGACTATTTAGTCAGGGGCACTGACCTCTTTTCTATTAGAATGTCAAATAAAAAAATGGCAACAGCCAACACAATCTAATTTTTGGTGTGCCACAGAATTTAGTAATTAGTTTGTGTGCCATTAAATGGAAAAGACTGAAAACCACTGGTCTAAAAAGACTGTTTTGAGCTCTCACCAGCATTGGCTCAGTCGGTTGAGCATTGTCCCGAAAAGCCAAGAGTTGCCAGATTCGATTCCCAATAAGAGCACATGCCTGGGTTGCAGGCCCAGTCCCAGCTGGGGGCACGAGAGACACAACTGATCAATGTTTCCCTCCCACTCTTTCTCCCTCCTTTCCCCCTTTCTCTAAAAATGAATAAATGAAATCTTTAAAAGAATGTTTGTTTTGAAAGTAAAGATGAAGGTTACAATTGTGAACATCTGATAACAGACCTAACCTAGAAATAAGATTTGATTTCTTATTTCACTGTTCATTTCCATATTCCCCTCTCCCACATCCTTCTCCCTTTGTATTCAGGTCTAGCTGGATTGAAGAAGGCTTTATTAGTTGAGAAAAATTAATATTAAGAAAAGGTCACTTAAAATACAGAAAAAATCTCATAATAAAAAGTGGAAAGAAAGCCTGATTTAGGAATTTATCATTAAAAATGGAAGTTAAAATTTATAAGGTTTCTGCCCTGGCTAACGTAGCTCAATGGATTGAGCGCAGGCTGCGAACCAAAGTATCGCAGGTTCGATTCCCAGTTAGGGCACATGCCTGGGTTGCAGGCCACAGCTCCCAGCAACTGCACATTGATGTTTCTCTCTCTCTTTCTCCCTCCCTTCCCTCTCTAAAAATAAATAAATAAAATCTTAAAAAAATTATAAGGTTTCTTACATTAAAATCTAAGTTTTAATTTAAAAAATATGTCAATTTCTAGAATAAACACAAAGGGTCAAGTTTTTGTTGGTCATAATACCAAATTTATGATAGCACAAATGGAAATTCTTAGTTTTGAATACATCTTTTACATCATAATAATCATGTTAATAAAAATTTCAGAGGACTTTATTGTCTAGGGCCTCTATTGATCCTTTGATATTTAAATCATTCTCATTTGAAGAGTCAATTACATTTTAATCCTTATGGATTTTGTTTTCTGTTATTAACTGGACTAATTTAATTGTACATATTTCTCGATGGCTTTATGTGATTTGAGTAGTTCTCTAAAGTTACCTTTTATGGTTTACATAAAATCCTTAATTTTTTTTTTTTTTGCCAGATTTCCAATCAGTCTGTATTATGTTTTCAATGAAATGTTGGATACTGATGTAAAGGGGCTGAAATGCAGGCTGGTATTAAATGGGAAGGGCTATTTGAGTAGAAACTAATATTAAAGTACTCTGTTAATTAGTGAATATTTTCCTGTTAGGACAATTTTTGCTTCTCTACTCTACCTTGTAATTATGAGGACTCACATAAGGAATGACTATATAATTAGAACAACCCATCTTCTAACACACACATAACTACCTCATTAACTCCAGGCCCCTGCTTACATGGGGAAACTGTTTCAATTTCCTTTTTAAATATAATTACCTTCCAGAGATTAAGGATAACCTATACCCTTTATTCTCACGCACAAGTTCTAGAAAACATAATACCTAATTCCAAGATTATTCCAAGGATCCCAGCTCAGCAGAGCTCAGACAACAAGGGCACTTCGGCTATGGGGACAACTCAGTGAAATGAACTAGTCCTTTTGGACTGATCCTGTGTGTTTCATCTTTTTTTCTCATCTCTTCCTCTCTTTGTTTATATCAGGGACTGGTGAAGCACAGTGAGCTGGCCACCTGTACTTATAAATAAAATTTTAGTGGAATACAGCTATGCCCATTTGTTTATAAGGCATTATCTGTCTCCTTTCACACTATAATGGCAAAGTTCAACGGCTGTCATTAGAAATCATGACCCACAGGCTTACATTATTTATTATCTGGCCCTTTAAGGAGGAATTTGTTGACTCCTGGTCTGTATTATGGAAAATTTCTATTGCTTTATTTTTATTTTTTAAGACTTTTTTTTCTTTAAGGTTAGAGGGAAAGAGATGGAGAAAGAGAGGGAGAGAAACATCAGTGTGTGGCTTTCTCTTGCATGCTCCCAACTGGGGACCTGGCCCACAACTCAGGCATGTGCCCTGACCAAGAATTGAACTGATGACCTCTTAGCTTGCAGGATAATGCACAACCTACTGAGCCACACCAAATAGGGCCATTTTTAAACTCTTTTACAGATACAATTTTTTTTTGATGACCCATTATGTGGATAGTTCTAAGATAGGTGCCAAAGAACGGTTTTTGCTGTCCAGAAATTAAGATCTAAATGAAGAAGTGACACTAATGTACATAATTAAGTTACAGGGTGCAAGATAAACTAAAAAAGTAAAAAGAGTCACCAGCGAGAAGATGGCCAAAATATCTGAAGAGGTGACATTACAATATATGATGATGAGACCAGAACTGCACTTTAAACAATGAATGATTAGAACTGAATGACAAACTATATTAAAAAAATATGCCAAAATTCAAGAGGTGCATAGAGATGAAATACAATGGTATATTCAAGACAATAAAGATGATTTAGGTAGCTTTACATATCAAACACATAAAGTAATGATTAGTTGCTAAGGGTTATTTAATTCAAACTTGTACTTTTAGAAATTTAGGTGAAGATTTCAAACTGATTTAAAGAAAAAACCTACAACTGTATTATTATTTTTGTCTTTACCATGAAATGGCCAAGAGGATTATCTGTTAAAAAAATGAAGATAAGACTTCTATCAGATAATATCATAAGGAAAAAAAGAATCAGAATAAGTCTGCAATTTGGTGCCGGTTACATATTTAATGCCATCAGAGAAGATGACAAAGCTTTTCTGATTTGTAGTTCATAAAAGTCTATCATGCATAACTATGATTATTGAAAAATGGCACTTATTTCTGATTTATATTATAACTGTAGCAGAAAAATAAGTACACCTTAATTTTTTTTTTAGTTATAACAATGCTACATACTTACATCAATATTGACAGGTTCTATTGTGTTTATATGCACATTTGGAGCTGATGAAGACCGGTCTCGTTGTCCAAACTGATTTCGGTGATCTTCATCTGCTGGTCGGAAAGGCTGTGGAATTGGAATGGATTTTGAAGGAGACGGAGTGGTGAGGATTTGGGGCCTGGAAAAATCAAGTCATTGGAAGATAAGATTCAGAGCAACTTTATGGAGATAGCAACATAAAAAATGGGTGATATAAAGATTCCTTTGCTTGCTTTTTAAGATTTTATTTGTTTATTTTTAGAGAGGGGAAGGGAGGGAGAAAGAGAGGAAAAGAAACATCAGTGTGTGGTTGCCTTTTATGTACCTCCTACTGGGGACCTGGCCTGCAACCCAGGCATGTGCCCTGATGTGCCCTGAATCCAACCAGCAGCTCTTTGGTTCACAGGCTGCCTCTCAATACACTGAGCCACACCAGCCAGGGCAAAATTCCCTTGTTTCATATTCTCAAATAAAGTTGTTAACCTAAAGCATTAAAAACCCACAGAAATGAGCTTTAAAAGTATTAATTAGAAAAATTAACATATGTCTACAACTATTACTGACAAAGCTGCTTTGCTGAAGCAGACCCTCCAGGGATTATCAATTATAAGAACACTGATTCTCATCCCAAAAACTCCAGAGAAATCTACAAATGGCTAGAAATTACCTGTGGTTAATAAGCTGGAGAAACTCTTGTCCTTTAAAGTTACACAGTTCTGGCCAAGATGGAGGCGTAGGTAGATACACTTTTGCCTCCTTGTACAACCAAAAGAAGGATAACAACAAATTAAAAAAACAAACAAACAAAAAAAAAAACACCAGAACCACCAGAAAATCCAACTGCCATGAAGTCTAACACCCAAGGAGTTAAAAAAGAAACATTCATTCAGACTAGTAGGAGGGGTGTGGAGACAGCAGCTGGGGCAGAGAGGATGTGTAGCAAAATAGTGGCTGGAGGACTGGGTGGTCCCAAATCTACATGTGGATAAGCCAGGAGGAACAACTGGGGAGCAAGACAGACCGAGCAACCAAGGGTCCCAGTATGGGAAAAGAAAGCCTCAAATCTTCTGGCTGTAAAAACCTGTGGGAGTTGCGGCAGTGGGAGAAACTCCCAGACTCACAAACCCACCCACCTGGGAATCACCACCAGAAAGGCCCAACTTGTTTGTGGGTAGTGGGGAAAGTGACTGAAAGCCAGCCAAGAGCCGACCCAGTGGCACTGCTCCCTCTCGAACTCCTCCCTCACACACAGTGCCACAAAGCAGCAACCTGGGTTGTCCCACCCTAAGGCTCCACCCCTTACAACATAACAGGTGCACAGAGACAAAGAAATATGGCCCAAATGAAAGAACAGATCAAAGCTCCAAAAATAGAACTAAGCAATGAAGAGAGAGAGAGCCAACCTATCAGAAGCACAGTTCAAAACACTGGTGATCAGGATGTTCTCAGAAATGGTTGAGTATGCTTGAAAAATAGAGGACGAAGTGAAGACTATGCAAAGTAAAATAAAAAAGAATATACAGGAAACCGACAATGAGGGGGAAAAATGGGACTCAAATCAACAGTTTGGAGCAGAAGGAAGAAATAAACCTTCAAGCAAAAAAGAATGAAGAAACAAGAATTCAAAAAAATGAGGGTAGGCTTAGGAACCTCTGGACAACTTTAAATGTTCCAACATCTGAATCATAGGGGAGCCAGAAGGAGAAGAGGAAGAGCAAGAAGTTGAAAACTTATTTGAACAAATAATGAAGGAGAACTTCCCCAATCTGGTGAAGGAAATAGACTTCCATGAAGTCCAGGAAACTCAGAGTCCCAAAGAAGTTGGACCCAAGGAAGCACACACCAAGGCATATGATAATTACATTACCCAAGATTAAAGATAAGGAGAAAATCTTAAAAGCAGCAAGAAACAAGGAGATAAGTTACCTACAAAGGAGTTCCCATAAGACTATCAGCTGATTTCTCAAAAGAAACCTTACAGGAAGAAGGGGCTGGAAAGAAGTGTTTAAAGTCATGAAGGCAAGGACCTACATCCAAGATAACTCTACCCGGCAAAGCTATCATTTAGAATGGAAGGGCAGATAAAGTGCTTCCCAGATAAGGTCAAGTTAAAGAAGTTTATCATAACCAAGCCCTTATTATATGAAATGTTAATGAAACTTATCTAAGAAGACCAAACCACTGAACCAAAACCAAAACCAACTAAGCAAACAACAAGAATAGGAACAGAATCACAGAAATGAGATCACATGGAGGGTTAACAGCAGGCAAGGGGAGGGATGGAGGAAAAGGTATAGGGAATAAGAAGCATAAATGTTAGGTACAAAATAGAAGGGAGAGGTTAAGAATAGTGTAGGAAATGGAGAAGCCAAAGAACTCTTATGTACAACCCATGGACATGAACTAAGGGTGGGGGGAATGCTGGTGGGAGAGGGGCTTCAGGGAGGAGGGGAATAGAGGAGAGGAAAAAAATGGGACAACTATAATAGCATAATCAATAAAATAGATATAAAAATGCTATTTTATAGGCTGATTTGAAATCTCAAGGCAACAGCATAATTTAAGGGAGGAGTTAAAGGTAGAAGAAGCTTCAATTAAGTACAAGATAGTTTTAATTAATATAATTGATTTGGTGTAAGCCTAAATGACAGCAACTCACTTTTAAAACTGGCTGAATGAAGACAGCAATATATAGTGCATATCAAATCAGAAGTATGTATGCAAAAAACACTGGTCCAGAAGTAAGAAAAACAAAAACTGGATTTAATCTGATAAATTTTATTATCATATCTAAAGAAAAAAATGGATATATTAGACAAAAAGGATATCTGCTTATTACACAAGTCAGAAAGAGTATAATTTGGTAGTTGGTATCGAACACCACCCAGAGCAAGGTATGCATTGTTCCATAAAGTCAATTTACCTAGCCTTGAGGGCAAGTGTATTATAATTTTGGAGAATACTTCAAGTTAATATATCCTAACTTCATTAAACATCTGAACCATGGACTAGTTCCACACTTAATAGAAACAACCTTTTGATTATAATTTGGTTTCTGATATTTTCCAAAAGCAGGGTGAGTGCTGGTCCATCCAACACAAGAACTTTGATGTACACAACAGGCCTATTTCTCACTGAAATGAATTATGTGATATTCTGAATTAGTGCTTTCTGAGTCTGGTTAATGTACACCGGTATGGCCCTGACTCTCATCATTTCTGGAAAATGATAAAATTGTTTCCACGCTGGCAAGTCTTTACTCAGACTAAGGCAATTTATATCCTGTGAAGTTGGCAGTCAGCAAACTGGCTTTCTCCTCATGATATGTTTACCTACCTTGCTGCACAACTCTTTTAAGCAGCATTAAATTAAAAATAAAAAGAATTTTAACCTCTAACACTCTTCAGCAAATTACCAGTTAGTTTAGGTCTTGTTTTTATTCTAGAATATTAACAGTTTTGAAGCAAAGTGACTACTTCTGTTTAGCGATATGCAAATTTTCAAATGCTGACCTTTCATATTTATACATTCTATAGCATTTTTTAAAAGTAGAAATGTAGGTAGGTACTTCTAACTTTTTATCCAAACTGGGCAATGTATCACTTCTCCAATACATCCTGGTTACATTCTATTATTATATCTGTTTCATGACCATTATGATTGTTATCAGACTATTAACAAAATGCAAAGGAATTTTGATAAGAACAGGACTGGCGTTTGTCTTTCACAGGCACACATATATACTTGTGACAGGAAAGCATCAAGAAAACAAAAGTTTGAACATCTTTCTCATCATTTGCTCAGGACCAGAATCTACTTCCATTTAGCTATGAATAAAGTATGGCATAGGCGGATGATTTCTTAAATTTAAATTTAGCATTCCCATCACTGGTAGGCAAATGTCCTGATCATTACCATTATAAACCTTCAGAGAGGCCAAGCTAATTTGATTATAATGTTCTATAACTCTGCTCACAGAACTGGGACCTGCCATTAGAAAGGCATCAGTCTATAGAATCTGTCAAGAGTAAAAGTCATAGTTAAAGGATTAATTAAAAAAAAAAACAACAACAAACATTTTGACTTGGTCTCCTAAGAAATATACTCTGCATACAAATAATGATTATAGAGTGTAGGAATAAGATGACTACACTAGAGTGGGTAACTGTTAAAACCTGTCAAGAGAACACAGGGGTTGCATTTCCTAGTGATCCAAAATAGGTAAATACATCCACACCTTAATACAAAAGTTTTTTGCTCAATTTTCTAGCCTATGAAACCTCCAGAAAGGTTGGCTTCATAAAAATTAAGCGTCTACTGGGAGTACCAATTTTTTTTTTTAATCTCTCTGGGTAGAAGAAATAGCATTACATTGTGAAGAATGAGAGGAAGTAGGGTTAAAACATAAAATATTTCTGATCTTAACTAATTATCTCTAGAATTGTCTAGAACAGAATGCGGTGTAGTGACTTTTTTTTTTAATCATATGCCTCAAGATATAGTATAATTTATGCTTCCTCAAATCGTATAGGGAAAGAATAAGCAGGCCTATGTAAGAAATGCTCCAAAGCAAACTAGTATTAGGTTGACCAAAAGATCCGTTTAGATTTTTCCATAAAATAAAAGACATATTTTTCATTTTCACCAGTAACTTTAATGATTTGGATATTTTGAGTATGTTGGCTATCTCCCGCTATTGGCTTCTAGTGGGGAGAGGCCAGAGGTGCTGCTAAACATCTTCCAATGCATAAGACAGCCCCACAGCAAAGAATTATTTGGCCAAAATGTCAACAGTACCAAGAAACTTCACAAATCACTTTTGACACATTCGATCAGTCACAGCACCTTTTCTGTACACTGCACAAATCTTTTTTTTTGCATTTCAGTTGTATTTTTACCTTTCTTGAAATAATAAAGCATAATACACCAAAAATGTTGCGTATTTTCTTTCATCTTCAATATTAAAATCACTATGCAAAAATTCACCAATTTTGACATTTTGTTTTTTTCACATCTGACAGATAATGTGCTGATGTCGTAACAAGGTTTGTGGGAGGCACATGTCACGCGTGAGCATGGACACCCAATCATCACACTTATGAACTACAAAAGGATCTTGATGTTTTATTTTTTTAAACACACACTGATATGACAACTTCCACAATACAATTGAACAACATTGTTTTGAATGAAATTAAAGACAACTACAGCCATCGTATGGGGAAAAAACCTAAATGAACTTTTTGGCCAACCCAGTATCTTCTAAAGTCATTATCATCTCTTTTTCCCCCTCATATGACACTTGAATATGTAGATAACTTTGTATCATCTTTAAAGTGAGTTCTCTCCTTTATCCACCATAACTGATCAATAGCATTATTTCTTTTTCTTTTACACTTTATGAAATTCATCGCTCCTGCCTGCTGCTACCCCTCCTGTTAAGTCTTCACTGTTCTTCCCTGTCTTCACAACCAACAGAATCTGAGTTGGCCTTCTTTACCACAGACATTTCTCTATAAATCTAACTGTGTATTAGTGTTATGTGATTCTTTCTTTTAAACCATTTTCATCAGGTTAGTACTCTGCTCAAAAACCTTTAATCCTTTTCTCCCCTCTTATGCCAAGTGTAAATTCCAGTCTAAATTCCAAGACTCTCCATAATCTACTCTTACACATGCTCCTTCTTAACTTAGATTAGGCTCTCTCTACTATCTCCTAAATATACCACTGCCATTCCCTTTATTTATGCTGTTTCTCCTCCCTCCTCCACCTCTCAATCCCCATGCTTTTACTTCCTAGCTCATTTAGTTGTACAATCCTTTAAAGTCCAATTCAAAATCCTACTTTCTTCATTAAGTTTTCTTGACTACTCTTGCTCACTATCCTCTTCTCTGTAAATATGAGAATATTTGTCCTTATAACTTAAGTTTAAAATACTATGTCAGAAACGATGGAATTTAATTACGTATCATTTTTAAACTGTTTGCCATTGTCTCATGTTAACGCTACTTTTCTAAATGAAGTCATGTACTTCTATATCTAATGTTACTTAATAAAGTGATGAGCACCAGTCAGGACTCACTCAGTTATCTGCTGCTTGATTTTTTCAATACTCATCCTGAAACAGTCTATGTCAGTTTCAATCCCAAGTATCTGTATCAAATGCATGTAACTATCTGACTGGTGTAATAAGGTATCTGAAAAAAAAAAGTCCCTCTTTAACAACCCCAATGCTAATAAAAAAAGTTTACAGTAACCAAAGAACCAAAAGAAACCAGTTCAAATAGCATGTGACTGAATAGCAGGAGTCAAATCATACCCAATAGAATCGGAGGGGGGTACGGAAGGGGATGATCCAGATGCGAGGGCAGTTTCTGCTAAGGAGGCCTCCTCCTGTGGTATTGGGTGGTGTTCAAAAAACTTGGAGACAAACAGCAAACTGTGAGGCAGAAACAAAAACAAAACAAAACAAACCTAACTTGTGCAAAACCCAGAAGCTTCATACATCAGAATACATTATAGAGTTAACAGAAATATCTGAGATCAAATTCCATTTTTAGAAATGATTGTTAATTTAATTAGTTATATTTTTATCTAGAGGCTTATTTTAAAAATTATATTGTATTTCAAAGGCAAGCTAAGAACCTGAAACTAATTGTTCTATACAACAAATTCCTACATATCAGAGGGGAAAAATCATGCTTTATAGTTAAGGAATTAGAAGAAAACGTAACTATTGCAAAGTTAGATCACATCATTATAATATACTTTAAAACAGAGTTGAGTTCTATTTGCTCAAGTGATCAGGAAAAGTAACAAGACCTTAGCAGCAGCAACAGCACACAAAAATATTAAAAGACTTAGTTTAATCTATTAGAGAAACTAGCATCAAAAGCAAATAGAAATTTTAGAAAGAGATACACTGGGTACAAAGATTTTATATCTTACTTTTAAATAAACTGGGGGTGCAGGTGGGGTTAAAGGAGAGAGGGAGACAAGGAGGGGAGAGAAAGAGAGAGAGAGAAACACAATTTACAAAATAGATGACAGAATCAGATCTCTTTATCTGTGGTCCAAAAATATATTTGTTAACTTTACTGAAACAACACCTCTCCTCCCAGAAACTATCTAAAAGTGATTTCTATGGGGAAGGGATCCTTATTAATTACAAGAGAATATAAAACATTAAAAAACCGTGTAGCTGAACCAGAAGTACAATTGTGGAGTAAAGCATAGGTTATATTACATATTAGTCTCTAGACACACTTTAAAAAAATTCCCTGTAACAACTCCATTGGACAGAACCTACCCCCCGCAAACTCTAAGACATACTAATTTCACATTCAGAAAAATTAAATGTAAAATGGTAGGCAGAAATTTTTTTGATTACTTACTCAAGTTGGTCATAATTAACACACATCAGTGGAACCTCTGTACTACAACGCTGGTGAAATTTATAACCACATGTTTGACAGCGGAAACCCTGGAAAAGCAGCTTTCGGCAAAAGTCACAAAATGCTAAGGTGAAAAATGTTTTCCGTACCTGCAAAATATCACAGAGGATTTAAAAAACTCGCAAGAAACTTTTAAAAAATCAACTTATTTATTCTCTGGTTTAAAATAAATCTTTAATATGTTTATGTCATGAGAACTGCCTTACACACTATAATACTAAAATGAAAACCAATGGGTTCAAACTAGTAGAGAGACTGTATGTATTATCTCCTACCCAATATCCAATTAAAAAACTCAAAGTCTTGATGGGAAATGAATGAAGGACAGGAAACTAATTTCAAGCTTGACTACATAACAATAAAAGTAGAGATTTGATAAGAGAAGGGACTAGAAGTAAAAGGAAGGATAAGTGTACAATATAATAACTGTACAAAGAAAGGAGTTATGAGGTGTTTACTGGTGTTACGAGAATTAAAAACAAAAGTATGCTAATACTATTCAAAGTCACAAAGGTATCCAACAGAGGAGCCTCAAAACCCCCAAAATAAAAAAAAAACACATTGGAGGAAAGGAGGAGGAGGAAAGGTTGTAATGTTACAAATGAGCTAATTCCCAATGCAATCAGTTATCAGTAAATGATGTTTTAAGTTGATAAAACAAGATATTGTGGCTTAATAATCACCAGAAGAGCTTAAAACAAAAACCATTAAAAGTTAAGAGTGATTTCCTCTGGCGAGTGGCATTAGAAGCTAGCAAGAGATGGTGGAACAGATTATTTTTAAATATAAGTCCCTCTGCACTACTTTTAAAACTACATACATTTGATTAAAATGTAAATATACTTTCATTAAAATGTAAAAACAAGTATTTAGAAAAGAAAAAACTATTTGTAATTGTACGAAAATCACAACAACCCTACCTAAACTTACTAACTGGGATGAGGGACAGGAAAAATCGCCTTAAGGACAATATGAATGGCTTTCAACAAGTTCTCATTTGGTTAAGAGGATAAGAGCACCCACATGTGTCTGAACACTCCTCTATGAGAAACTTAAAAAAGACAACATGTAAGGACTTCACATGAGGCAAATGATCTACAACAGTGATTTTCAACTTTTTCATCTCATGGCACACATAAACAAATTACTTAAATTATATGGCACACCCCAAAATTTATCTTTTTGTCGATTTGACAGAAAAAAAGGTGTATTTTGGTTCATTCACACTGGATGGCTATTGTGTTGGCTGCTGTCATTATTTTTTTTATTGACAGTTTAAGGGAAGAGGTCAGTGCCCCTGATTAAATAGTCAGGTAGTGCATGTTTTAAAAATTCATATGGCACACTGGTTGAAAATCGCTGATCTGCATACAACATGGGTCACATAAATAGAACTGTGCTAGGGAGGCTCTACCTTGACAACTACCAAAGCTGGAAATTGTTTCAAAAATATTAATCTGTGTAAATAATAAGCAGAAAATATAAAAAGGATAAACAAGTACCAAAATGTTAATAATGGCTATTTCAGAGTGGTGAGAGCATGGGCGCCTTCTGTTTTGTCCTTTATTCTTTGCTGAATATTCTCAATTCACTTCAGTTTTTCAGAGTTTTAATAAAAGACCATAATGAAAATATATTTTATGTTATGACCTAGGACACATTTGTATTCATATAACAATACTTACTCTAACTACATATAACCATATTTTGCCGTGTATAACGCACTGCCATGTATAACGTGCTGCCATGTATAATACATACCCATGTTTTTGTCCTGAGCTTGCAGGGGAAAAAAATCTTTCATTTTAATTTTTTAATTTAATTTTTTACTTATTTATATTTAGGTACTTGTTTTTTTGTATTACAAAGGAATTTTAGCATTTATTTTTGAACATACTATGGTACAAGAAACTTTACGTAACAAATTACAAAACACAAGATCAGGTATTTCAGGTACTACCCACATATAATGCACACTCTTATTTTTCCTTCAAAACTTTGGGCAAAAAAGTACCCGTTATACATGGCAAAATATGGCAAATGCTTTTCATGAGCCATTAAGTTGATCTCAACACCCAAAGTTTACCAGACTCTTCTCAATAAACACATATTTAACAGGATAAAATTTAAAAATGTTTCATCAAGAAAATGGTATCTTGGCATATATATCATCCATTCTGGCTTTTGAGAACATTTAGATAGTTTTAAAAATGGCTCATGTTTTCTTCATCTTTTTCCTATGACCACTTTCTAGGGGAGGTAAAAAAGCAACCACTTGTTTTTAGCTTTGTTCTTTTTCCACTTGTCTCTGGATATACAAGAAATTAGAAGATTTTTGACATTTATGAGACCACTATTTACCAAAGCCAACAATACTTTACATTGCTAGCGTAATTTTGGGAAATGGAGCACAGAAAAAGATAAAAATTTTGCACAGGAATCAGCATTTTATAGTCATCTGATTCTCTTTGCTAACCACTCACATCTTCACTCTCCTGACAATCTGTTGAGTATCATGAAACCCTAATTTCTCTTCCTATGTTAATTCACTCAATTGCAGTCTTTCTTCCCGTCACTAACTTATATTTGTAAACTCTGTGTAACTGGTTATTTGTATATGTAAAGGAGAATAGAGACAGAAACAAGGAAAGAGGGGAGAAGGGAGGGAAGAAAGAGGAGAGTAATTAAGAGGAGAAAACCTGAGTATGTCCTTGAGTATAAATTACAAGTAACATATGGGGGGCGCAAAAGTAGGTTTACAGTTGTGAATGCCCAAGAGTTTATTCCTGTATTATTATTTATTAATTACTGTATTACTTTCCATACGAACAACTGTAAACCTACTTTTGGCGCACCTTATATTTGTGAGTATACCTTTGTCAATAAAGGTGAGCGATAGAAGGTATATCTTTTCCTTTGGGTCACAATTTAGGTTTATTCTGAATTTGAGCATCTCGAGACATGGATGGTAAACTAATGGGAGACAGAGACCAGACAATTTGCATGCATCCATTTGTAAAGTATGGGCTGTCTGAAGGAAGACATTAACCTGAGTGCCTACAGAAAAAGGGAAGGGCTAGACAAATGCCTAGACAAATGCCATCTGTTTCAAATTTGTTTCCCAACCTTCCCTGTCCCCTTTCACCCTACCAGTTCTCAAGGACTCCTGGGATGCAGGCAAGTAGAGAAGGAACTGCTTTTATAACAGACTCTATGAAACTATAAGGCATCAGCAGCATTCCTTGAGTAGCCAGCAAAATCCAGCAGAGATGCAGAGAGAAACTCTTTCCCTTTCTAAGAAGCATCAAGTGCTGGTTTTTACTCTCGCATCTATATGATATGCAGAGCAGTTGTTCTAAAACACTTACCTAATCACACTTCTCCCCTGCTTACAATCATTAAATTCCCAATTATTTTACAGAAAAGTGCAAATCATTAATATGGCTTAAACGGACTCTCCTGAACTGGAATCTGCTTACTCAACCCATAACTCTTGCTATCCTGTAACATCTCCCTCCCCTAACTTTGTACCACCGATTCTGAATATTTTTTTTTTAAACTGAAAGGGCAATCTGTTTTCTTGCTATTTACTCTACCTTGAGCACTCTTTTCTTCACTTTCAGCTGCTCCCCTCATCCATTAGATCTTAGCTTACTCTTCCTTTGGGAAACCATCCCGACTCCTCAAAGCGTCTCTACTTTGCGTATCTACAGCACTTTACACATACACAGTAATTACAAGTTTTTATGAAGTTTTCTTATTAAATCATTTGTCTCTCTAATCTAAGGCCGGGATACTGTTTTTCTTATTCATTGTTATATTCCTAGATCAGACATGGTGTTGGCAAAAGGAAGGTTTTCCATAAATATTTACTGGCAGGTCTCCAACTGTGCTGAAAAGATTTCCACATTCTGGGCTAACCTGCAGTTTGCTTTCATTGCACTGTTATGGCAAGGACCTTCCTGAGGCACTATTTTAACACAATTTCCCAGCTGGCAACTTAGGTCTTCTTTCACCTTCCCATATCCAATCTCTAGCTAAGAATAATTAAAGAGTAGTAATCACTATGAAATTGTGTGTGAATCACTATGAAACTGCTTTTGGATTCCTAAACACTTACCACTCGAAATTCTATACTGAGTTAAAAAAATCTCTATAGTAATGAACTTCCCAGTTCATTGTTATAATACTATTTGCTACACAGTAAATCTTATTGATATTAGGTGTATTTTACACTTGTTCAAAAGATGCCTTAATTATTGAAACACTTGATTTCATTATTTACTACTAATGGAGCCCCCAAAGCACAACCCAAGGAAATCATCTCATCAGTTGTCTACTTGAATAGACCAGCTGTCAGAAAACACTTGACATCAAAAATGTAGCATTAACTATCCATCTAGAAAAAAATAAACTATGGTTCAAATTCCACATGCAGGGTCCAGCACAAATAATGCCCCCCTTTTTATTACAAAATCTTTTATTACAAAATCATAAGCATGTAATTCTGTAACATAATAATATCACACTCAAGCACACCACATGATATTTTAGGTGAAATGTTCAAAGTAAAGCTATAAATTATTACACCCATATTATTACCCTACCAACCACACTCAAGCAGGCATTACTTCTGCTGGACCCTGTATATAGATAAGTAAGAAATTCACACCTGTCTTATAGATCATTCTAACCCTGCATTTGCCTACTACTCTTTTAGGGGATAGATTCTCAAGTTCTGGGAACTGTGTCCTCATCTATAAGGTAGAGAGACCTCACTTTTCGGGCTTTACTCTGGTGACACTTAGTTTAGGCTAGGTTCTAGCAAATGCAAAAACCAAAGGGAGAAGTCCTCATGGAGAGTTTTAATGTCTTTTTTCAGTCCTCAAGAAGAGCTGTTTCATTCCATTAACCAATCCTTCAGAAAAATTTATGCAAGTATGTCAAGATGTACGCAGAAAGATCCTGTTTAGCCCTGTATATAATAGATTTTTTAAAAATCTAAATGTCTATCAATAGAGGGATGGTTAAATATACTGAATTTATACCATTCTTACAGGTTATTATGCAATTATAAAAATAAAGCCAGGTGTACTAACATCAAAAGGTATCCATGATGTACTGTTGATTTTTTTAAAAGGTAAAGATTACAAAGAATGAGAAAGACTCCATTTTTAGTTTAAGAATAGGGAAGAAATAGAAAATAATGAAAAGAGGGGAATGAAGAAGAAAAGAGAAAGGAGAAAACCTTAGGCTCACAGATATAAGCATACATGTTTGTATACACAGAAAGAAACTGGAAGACTACACGATAACTGATTAATACTAGTTTATCTCTAACATGGTATTTTCATTTTTACTTGATATACTTCACATTTTTAAATTTTCTTTTAATAATAGGCATGTATTCCTTTTTTAAATTCAAAACAAAGTATACCAATTAAAGTTAAACGGTTTAGTTTAAATTCAAGTTTTTAAAAGAACAGAACTGATTCTTAACTTAGGTAAAATATCAATCCCCAAATTATTCATCCATATTTCTTATTTCCTACATAAAAATTCATTCACAAGAACATAGACATTTTTGACATTTTGAAAAAAATGTAAAGGTACATACAAAGTTGTGTGTTGTAAGTGGAACATTCTCCAATACTTCTACATGCAATTCCTCTCCAGTAAGCCAGGAAATGTCAGTGTCCCAGCCAATTGGCTTCTTCTCTCTGAAAAGTGTAGACAGAAGCCTTTCTTGGTAATCATACCTAAAAATCTTCATAGACCTCATGCTGAAGATATGAAAATTGGTTATTGAGGGGCTAGTAATGGTGAGGGAGGTTTGGCTCCCTGGCCTTCCATCGTTAGAAATTTAAATGGCAATAAATTAATTTTTAAGTTTACCCCAAATAAATGTATCACTCTTGGACAAACAGCAGGGTAAAGAGATGTACTCTTTTCTTCAAGTCAGCTCCAGAAAAGACCTACAACAGCAGAAAATGGATTGTTCCTGGCATCCCAGAAAAAAAAAAAATCACAGGTATGGATGTATCCATCCAAAGAAAAAGAGTGTCAAGGGACAACATGCCCCAAAAAGGGTAATTTTTAAAATGGGAGTCAAAACTGGGAGGGAGGTATCTTGGCATGATTTTAGACACTTTCTGAAAGAAAAATAGTTCAATATAAAATGTTAATTGATACGCCTTTGTGAAATTATGAGTTTGTACTAAAAATAGGGGAGCGGGGACAAGTCCACTATTCAAATGAGTCACATCCTAAATGGTTTAAAAAGTTTAAGAATCACGAATTCCAAGTCAAGTCATTTGATCAGAGTAACACTATGGTCACACATAAAATATCTAATACTAACTCTTCAAAGGGCCTATAAGATTTGTTTAATTTAATACTGTTTTCTAAAGTTCATTTTCAATTCCCAAGGTTTAGATAAAGATCTTAGAGAAAACCCTGAAGTTTAACGTCTGAGTTTTTTTTCTTTTCAAACAAATTTCACATCACATACAAACCATACCCATCCTGAATTCTGTAAACAGCACAGCACTCTGGGATCAGACCTCTCATCATCAGTGCTTTCTTTAGACTGTCCCGGACTGTAACTCCACACCTTGCAGGTACCTACAGTATCATATAAATGTATATGAGGTAAAGGAAAAAGATTATGCTTTCCACATCGTTTAAAAAAGTCAATAACTTTATAATAGATCAATAATAATCAATAAATCAATAAAAATCAATAACTTCATAATATAATACCTTGACTAAAACATGCATTACCATGTCATATACATCGTTTCTACAGCTAATGAGAGATTATGACAAACATCTATTATTATTTACCAACTTAAAACAAATTTTACTTTATTAAAATTATAAAATATTTAAACATATAAAAGAGAACAGAAAATATAACAGATCCCTATGTACCTATGATTGAGGAAAAATAGATGTCAACATTTAAAGCAAAATCAATTCTGATGCAACATTGTTCAAAGCTAAAAACTGTTTAATCCTTCAATCACAATGATGGTCCTTAAGAGATGTCTTACTGATCCTAAATATAGGAGAAAGAAAATACTTGTCTTAATGTGTATAATTGATATTTGTTGTTTCGTTGCCTAGCACGCCTATATCCTCATGGAACCTGCCCTTTCCTAAAAATTCATGAGGTACTGAAGAGGATCTCAATCAAGCATCATCACTTTTCTGGCTACATGTGACATAAGTTGGCTAATCAGTGTTCCATATTCGTGGCAATAGCAACTGACCCAGGACTAGATATATGACCCCAAAACTACTTATAGATGGACACTGGTCAAAAGACTTCTTCTAGTATAGTTACAGCATGACAAGCAGATAGAAATCTGGAGTCCCCAGGGGCCATCCTTCCCACTGCACTCAGAAATGTGGCTACAGAATAAGGCTAACCTGGGGAGAAGTACAGAGACGCTGGTGGTGAAGAGGCAAGTGCCACTGGAAAGAGATAAAAAGGATCTTTCTGTATATTTGCAATAATCCCTATTTTGACCTTCACCCTATATCCCCAACTCGCAGTGAATAATCTATAACTGAAAGAGAACTGATAAACACAATGTGGACTTAAGTGGGGCAGTGGGAGTTCAGGTTGGGCAGTTTTAATGGTGTGCGTAGGGGAGAAGTAGAGACAATAAAATTAAAGGTTTCATTCTTTTAAATTACTAAAGTACTTAGCAAACCCAGCGTTCTCAAAGAAACTAAAAATCTTTATGCTAGAGGGGAAAAAATGGAGTAAGGGTAGATATAAGACAGCTGAATTTAAACAGCATACTTAAGGGGGAACAATCTAGAAAGCCAAATTAGGATCTATGATTAGAAAAAAACCAGGATCCCAAATTTAGCTCAATATAACCATTAAAACTACCCAACAAAGGAAAAGTGTCTTACGGAGTAGGCTCATCAATGGAAGTATGCATGAGATTGAAATGGTACAGCTGATTCTCGTATTGGTGCAATTCTGTATTTGCGATGTCTACTCGTTCAATTTATTTGTAACCCACAAACCAGTACTTGCAATGCTTATGTGAACAAGTGCAGAGGAGCGAGTCCAATGCATGCTTTGCCTGCTGAGGCTGAACAAGGTGACACTGTGCCTTCTTGTTCCAGCTCTCATACTGCAACGAAGTGTCCCATGCCAGAGGGCTTTTAAGCGAATGGGCCTCAGCAAACTGAAAAAAATAGACCACCTAGGGGTCAATATATCAAGGCCATCTCTAGCTCATTTATGTAATAGTAACCCTGTAGTTGCCCTTCACTAGATCAGTGTTTACAAAAATGTTACAGAACACAACTACCACGCATTTGCCGTACCTTCCAGAAACAATGAACTGAAGGGAAAACTCACCTTTCCACTCTGCTACTCATATTCTCCCTACTCTAATGCAAAAATGTCTTGATTAGCAAACCTATCTTTACATTTAAACCCCATTCAACCTATCCTATTCCATGGTATAGGTATCTTTCTAAAGAATGTATTTTTAACTTCTGCACATGTCAGACTTCTGAGAATCTATTGACTCAGATGCTCTCTCTGACAGAAAATTTCAGGGAGAGTTCATGGAACTTGAAGCCCATGTATGGACCGCTGAGGAGCCCAGTGAACTAACTCTTTTACCTTCTGAGATCAGGCGAGATTGGGCTGGTTCAGGGTGGTATGGCCAATAGACTGAACTCTGATTTAGAACCCCCAGGTATAATCTTACATTTTGTTAGTCTGCTGAAACTTGTCCCATTATTTATAAGGCAAAATTCAAATTCCAAATGGCATAAAAGGCAATAAATGACCTGGGACTATCAACCCTTCAGTTTCTTTAGTAATTTCCCTCATGCATTTCTGTAATGCCATTTTCAAATACAGCTACGCTCCCTCATGCTTCTCTGCATAGGCTGATTCCAAGGTGTACATTTATTTCATCAGCAGACAAAAATTCAGTTTTCTACTCTTTCACAAAGGGGAAGTCATCAATCACTTCTTCTTCATTCCACTTCTGTAGGCTGATTTTTTTTGTACTATTTGCTCCTTCATGATAGTGCCTGTTCAACAGACTGAGAGGCCAGTGGAACAGAAAAAAACAAATCAGACTCCAATACATGAAGGAAATTAGGATAAGATAAAGGCAGCATCTAAAATAAGGTAAAGATTAACTTTTTAATAGTTGATGTTGGGACAACTGGAACCAATCTATAAAAAAAAGTTCATCCATATCTGATATAGTATATGAGGATAAACTATAAATAGAGCAAAGAATTCAAATGTTGAGAGTAGGAAGGGACAAACCATAAAAGAATGGAAAGAAAACAAAGCAAACTCCTTTACAAGCTCAAAAGAAGAAGGCCTTTATAACTATGATGCAAAATCTGGAAACTGTAAAGAAAAATAATAAATTCAGCTACATAAAATTAAGAGCCTTTTTAGATGGCAAAACACATTATAAAAGCAAAATCAAGAGACAAATGCAAACTGGGACAAAATATTTGCAACACATATAACAGGCATATCTTATATAAAGAAAGCTCCTGAAAAATTGAGATCAAGACCAACAACCCAATAAAACAGTGAGCTAAATACATGAAAGTCAGCTCATAGGAACAGAAATAAACGGCCTTAAACATATGAAAAGGTGGTGTTCAACCTCACCGAGAAAACCAAGCTCAAACCTGCCAAGATAGTTTTCATTTACCATACTGATTGAAAACATATTCTGCTGATGAGGTGGTGGTAAAAAGGCAACTCATACATTGCTCGTAGCAGTGTAAAATTAAGTTAAACCTATGAAGCAAAATGTGAAAGTTCTTATGAAAATTACAAATGTAAATTTCTCACTTTGATCCAGACAAACCTACTTTTAGTATACTATACTGGTAAACTATAGCTTTGTGTCTCAGTAGTGCATCTCTTTCTACAAATATACCACAATTTGTTTAGCCATTTACCCCTAGATGGACATTTGGGTTATACTCAGTTTTGGACTGTTAGAAGTAAAACTATTAAGAACATTTTTGTACAGATCTCTGGTAAAACCAGTATTCTTCTCCTTATTATTCAAAATAGTTAAAAAGATATCATTTTACAGTGCTTCCATGAGAATTTTTAAATTGTATTTTATTGATTATGCTATCATAGTTGTCCTGAATTTCCCCTCATTGACGCCCTCCCCAGCACCCTCCACTCCCTCAGGCAATCCCCCCACCATTGTTCATGTACACAGGTCATGCATATAAGTTCTTTGGCTGCTCCATTTCCTGTACAGTACTTTACATCCCCATGGCTATTCAGTAACTACCTATTTGTACTTCTTAATCCCTTCACCTCTTCACTTATTTACCCCTTTCCCCTCCCATCTGGCAACCATCTGGCAACTTTCTTTTTTTCCTGGATGCTTTTATTTTCTTTTTTTAAAAAAAGATTTTATTTATTTATTTTTAGAGAGGGAAGGGAGGGAGAAAGAGAGAGAAACATCAATGTGTGGTTGCTGGGAGCCGTGGCCTGCAACCCAGGTATGTGGCCTGACTGGGAATCGAACCTGTGACACTTTGGTTCACAGCCCGAGCTCAACCCACTGAGCTATGCCAGCCAGGGCTTCCTGGATGCTTTTAAGAGTCTCTCTTTATCTTTACCCTCTGGCATTTAATTATTTTGTATCTTGGAGTGGGCCTCTTTGCATCCATCACAATTGGGACTTTCTGCCCTTCCTAGACTTACATGTCTATTTCCTTCACCAAATTAGGGATTTTTTCTTTCACTTTTTTCAGATAGATTTCCAACTTCTTTCTTTTTCCCTTTTCCTTCTGGCATCCCTATGATGCAAATGTTGGACCTCTTAAAGTTGTCCCAGAGGCTGTTTATACTATCCATTTTTTTTCTTGTTTTGCGTGGTTGTTTTTTCCTACCTTATGTTCCAAATCACTGATTTGATTTTTGGCCTCACCCACTCTACTTTTGTTTTCCTGTAAATTGTTCTTTATTTCAGTTAGTGTATCCTTCACTTTTGATTGGGACTTTTTTATGCTGCGGAGGTCCTCACTAAGTTCCTTGAAGCATCCTTACAACCAGTGTTTTGAAATCTGCATCTGATATGATTGCTTATCTCCATTCCCTTCAGCTCTTTTTCTGGAGTTCGGATCTGTTCTTTCACTTGGGCCATGTTTCCTTGTTTCTTCGTTTTGTCAGCTTCCCTGTGTTGGTTTCTAGGTATTAGGTAGAGCGGCTTTGATTCTGTCTTGGTAGTATGGCCTAATGTAGCAGGTGTCCTGTAGGGTCCAGTGGCACTGCCTCCCCTACCACTCAAGCTGTGTGCTCAGGGTGCGCCCTTTGTAGAGGCTGAGTACACCCTCTTCCTGTGGTTGAGCCTTGGATGCTGTTGGCAGGTCAATGGGAGGTATTTACCCAGGCCATTCAGCTGCAAGGACTGGCTTTACCACTGACCACCAACCTCCACCCTTGGTGGAGGATCAGCTCTGCAGGGGCAGGGTGGTGGTGCTCCCACACAGTCTGTAGCTGTTCACTGGGTGCTCTGGCCCTGGGGTTTCCCGACAGTGCAGGCCAAGGTCAGCCCCCCCATGGTGTTTTGTCTAGGGCACCC